GAAACAAATCACTTACTCGTTCCGAGAGACTTGGGATAAAATAAACCCATATTCTTCTGTTTCAACAACTTTTATTTTCCCCAACTCCTGGTTTTGGCTGTGAAGTATACAGTAGTTTTCTCGTTATTATTGTGGACCCAAACCCATAGAGGGACAAATTAAACTGTCCTCATGAGATGAAAGTTGAGTTTCAAAGAGACGTTCAAAAGCAGCATTATTTTAAGCAAATCAGTAACATCCACACAGGAGTCAGGGTGACTTATTACACCCTGCAATATAATAAGTCCATGACTAAATTTGATATTTTTGTACAAAATAAATTATTACCTAGATTAATTAATTTATTTTTTATTCTGTGATATCTCTCTGACAGTATTGATCATATACAATACATGCCACCACAGTTGAAATGTTTTTTTTTTGTGAAACTGATTAGTATTATTATAACAATTCTTCGGTGTCATCTGGCAGCACATTTAACAGCACATGTATCACACACTTAATGATACATTAAAGAAAATAAGATAGAAAGAAGGTAAAACACTTTTACTTTCATCCCACAGAAACAGCTTCCCTCCTTCTCACACCCAGTTGTTGCTGCTGTGCGTCTGATACTGGACTCTGTTCTGCTCACGCAGTGAGAGCGGCTGCTCCACACGCACAGAAAACTGCAATCACCTTTATTGACCTGTTTTTACAAAACAGAAACTGAAGGCCTTTGTCTACTGGTCTTCAAATCACGGAGACCGCATAATAAAAGAGAACAACTCCGATGTGTTGTTGAGAGCAGGCAGCAAATACTCAAATTAATCAGATTTTACAGTTTACTTTGTTGTATTTTGGAGATAAATTATATCAAAACAGAACCGAGGGATGTATTAAATAAATTAGAAAGTTGAAGCTCAGGAATAAGTTGTAAGAGATCATTGGTTTGAGGCCAACCCAAGGAAAGAATAATAATGAAGAAAAAAAGCAAGGCAATGTAATAATGACTGAATTCTTAAATGAAGTACATATAGTAAGAGCACTTTTTCACAAGTCCCACTGTTAACCAAGGTGTGCAAGAAATCAAGAAAAAAAAACAGTAGAAAGCTTCTAATTTACTATAAAAATAACATCTTGACCATTTGACAAATAAGCAGAGTTCGTCAATTTGAAGTCCTGAGTAATAGAAACAGAAGTCTTATTGTCATTACTCTGAAGTAATGGCAAAGAACAGCAGCTTTGAAACCATTTTAAGTGTGATAAGGAAGATGGTTTTGTGGTTAGTAGAGGTACCACAAAACGGAATGAGATGCATATTTTCGTTTCAATTTAGCAGCCGATTTAGCCTTGCATAACTTCCTCCTGTATTACTACAACCACACTGTCTGTTAGGTTATAAAGAAGGTAAAGACAGGAAAAGGATATGGGAGAGAACCTGAGAGTCATTCAGGGCCGGAATAAGGAAAATGAGTTGCTAATTCACAGGAAAGAAGAGGGTAAAGGCCAGAAAGAGGAAGACGGAGGGTTATAATGGTGACTGACAGAGTGCTCTGACACTTTAATCTCTTTTTCATTGAACGTGAGTGAAGTCAAGTCAGCACCCTACTAACTAGAGGTTCTCACCTTGATCCGTTCTCCATCCTTCTCTCTCCATCTTGCTCTCCTCCCTCTCATGTTACCTTTTTGACCTTTCCCTCATTCAGCAGGCTCCTGTCGCCCTCTGCACCCCGCCCTCCTCTCCTGCGGTTTGCCTTTGTGTGAACGGGGTCGCACAGATGCCGCGCGACACACTCATCCATCGTAGCCTCTCAGTTGTCATGCAACAATGTCCATGTTTCTGTCACCACCTCATCAATCAGGCCTCGGTGGTGTGTTGACGTTAACGATCACAAAGGCCGATCATAGTTTGTGGCGCATCGCACAAACTCGCTTGACTTCATTGGAGTACTAAACTGTATACTCAATGTTTTCAGGCCGAATCTGAAACACACACACACACACACATTCAGGGGTTCCAGGTAATAACACGCTCCCGTTGATGAGATCCGGTAAAGGGATGATTGTATTTGCAACTGTTGGCGTGCGCACTTCCATGTCAGGGTGGAAACTACCCATTGTTGCTTCTCAGCGGGACAGGAAGCACCTTTCACAACAAACTCAACCTCCTTACACTAATGCAATGTATTGCAAGTGCTACAGTCCCTGGCCACTGCACCCTCTTTGCCAATATATCAATCGAACACTAATGGATTCAGATGGTAGTAAAGAGATGCGGCTTTTGTGAATGTCTTTTGCTTACTATCTTGCATTTCCCTGTAGTCTTTCTGTTCATAGCATATTGTTTACCATCCTGAAACAGAAATGAACCAACACCAGGATGACTGTTATTTCCCAAAGGCTTCTGGCACACAATGAATCTTGCTCATGAATTTTGGACAACCTGTAAGGAAATGCCTTCCAAGCTGTGAAAATATCCCCTTTGAGCCCTTCTCTCTCTCTCTCTCTCTCTCTCTCTCTCTCTCTCTCTCTCTCTCTCTCTCTCTCTCTCTCTCTCTCTCTCTTTCTAGGAAAGCTGAAAAACACCAAGAAGGTGAGTGCAAGCCACATATTTAGACTCTGTGGAGCCAACCCTACAAGGGAAAATGGGATATTGTGTCCAGCTTGATTTCTTGTCTCAGAGTCACCAGTCGTCCCAGGAAGAGCGGGCAGTGAACTCCCAGTTTTCTCTCAGCATTCTAGCTCTTCAGTGAGCATCAGCCCCAGGAATAGCAGCTATGTGAGCATGACTCTACATCACTATTTCTGGGCGTTCTGCTACTTGACATTGAGAGGCCCGGATTAGGCGGCTTCACTACTGTAAAATGTGTGTGTGCCTTGTAAATACACACATGCAGTGTTGTGCAAAATGCAGTTGTCCCAGTGCAACTTACACAAACAAAAGCCTCGGTGTCTTTCTTTTTTAATTTCATGTGATAAAGCAGAATTTCCACATTTGCTTTGCAGCAATTTGCTAATTTTGTTTGCATTTTCCTTGTGTTTTTGAGTGTCCTAAAAAGCACATTATAAGTATAATTTGTTAGGACAGTATACCAAGCTCTGGACTTCTCATCTTCAGTTGTCTGGAAATAGGAAATGCAAAACTTATACTGAATGCACTACTTTTTGCTGGTCTATTGCATAAGATGAAAAAAAGCAATAACATTTTATGAAAAACATTGAAGGTTTGGGGATGAAATGTGACAGATTTCAAACAGGTTGAAGGGGATTTGAATTCTTTCTAGACGTTCTATGCAACCTGAAAGTACTGGCAATGACACATGTGCCATTTTTTCATGTGTTTAAAAAAAAACCCAAAGCTTTTGGGCTATATCTTTTTCCTGGAAAAAAACACCAAGTCAAACTTCTATTTTTTGATTTCTCAACAGATGTTATGACGAAAGTTACATCTTGAATCAGGTGCCACACCCTTGGTAGGGGCTGAACGTCTGCTTTTAACTATAACAACCAGAGCAATCATTAGGGTTGAGTATCTTGTTTATTCACCAAACATAGAAAGCATGCAGTCAAACCAACAAACAGGCTTGAGTGGCATCAGCTGGTAAACATGTATGCTTTACAGTGAATTTCTTTTTTGCCTTTGATGATTTGATTAACCCCAGCAAACCACACAGAGTCAGAGCTGAGGCATTCCCGCTCACACACAAAATTACGCACACACGGTACCGGTGCAACAACATCCGTGTAGGAGATGACTTCAAGGGATGACTAAACTTTGGCTTCGTTTGAATCCAGCTGGGTTTTTTTTTTTTTCATCCCTACTTCTGTTAAAAGCAGGCAAGCGTAACAGCTACAATGGCTGCTGGTACTTGCCCTCCGCGGTCTTTCTGAACCGATTTGGCGCTCTGGGCCTCCTGATGTTACCCCGTGCATCTCTTTGAACACACCAGCTGTTTGCCTGTGTGAGTAATGAAGCGAATGAAGCTGCGAAGTGAGCATCAGGTGTTCCCTGCTTCACACACCTTACATCTGTGCTATAAGAGGTTAGCGCTCTCACAAGGGGCTGCTTTCTCATAACACATCAAACAAAAGTTACACAGAGAGTAAAATGGGCTGTTATTCTGACCAAAGACCCAGCAGCAGGATTGCTTTGAAAGCTCTGGACTTGCTTATGAGCTTTCAAAATGCTCATCTATAAAACTGATGATGCTGTCAACAATGTAAACAAACTGATTTCAAGAAAGCCCCTGCCTATGCACAACATGTTAATGTCACTCTACAATTGTCTGACTGAAGCTAAGCATAATAAACAGGGTCAGCTTCATAACTCTTTATGCAGCTCGAACTAATATTTGCCTTTTAAAGGCAGCGGGACATAATAGCCGTGCAGGCCAGGATGCAGGTGCTGTGGCGAATAAAGGTTGCAAACACGTCACAGCGAAAGGAAATAAAAATATTGTGTTTACTATAATTACAGGTCCCGAGGAGGACAAAGGAGCAACCCGATGGTATCTCCATACAGGCATTAATGTGTGGGCCAAGTCAGGAAGTTGATAAAAGGGCAAAAAATACAATTGACCTCACTTAAAACATGCGCTGAAAGCATGGCGCATCTGAATCTGTTCATTTGTGAAATTAAGAGTAATCTGAAGTGCTTAAATAGAAGGCAATTGGACTTTTTTTTTCTTGACATGTGGCCTAAAAAGCTGACTTGTTGGCATTGTTAGGTAAAATGTTTGGATTGTCCACGTGGCAACGACCCAACATTAACTGAATAGAAGGTAGGGCCAGTGACTCGTGTGACCTTAACGGACCCATTTGGGCGATTACAGAACGCTCAACTGTATGGAGCGTTCTGACCAGGCAGTAGCTAAAAAAAAAAAAATCTTTTTGGATAAGAGGTGAAACAAGAGAAACCCAGTTACCTTGTATTCAACACCCATCACTGCCACATACTGAATGACTGAGAATTACACACCAACATAATGAAATGTAATAATGAGGAAACACTCAAAATGTCAAGATACATATATTTTTTATTTTGCAATGAACAAATCAATCACAAATCATCACTTCAACAATGACAAATCAGAATTTGAAAGGGTTGAACACCGTAATTCACTTTTTTTTTCTTTTTTGCTTTGGCAGCGTGACACTTTCTCCACTGATAAGACAAAAAAAAAAAACAATTCAGCTTCTCTCCACACAGCCAGTTTTCACTTCAGCATTGATTCTCCAATCCCATAAGGTAAGAGAGGGCGTGGTATCTGTACAGTCGCTGGAGAAACTTGTAAAAAAACAACTCTTTGGTGACTTTTTTTTTTTTTTTTTTAGAAAACGGAAGCCAAACGCAGAAACTCCTTTACTTTCTGGCCTTCAAATCCCTGAGCCTGCAGGACAAAGTCGAGCTGAGGGAAGGAGTCCTCCCTGATTTTCAACTCTGATGTGCCATTGGGCAAAAAGCCCCCAAAACACAATGGGGTCTCCTGGCTTTACATTCCAACTGAGTTCACCTGGTATGATTATTGGTAGCTCCCAAAGAGTTGTTTATACTTTAACAAAAAGCAAAAATAATAATAAAAAGAAATTACCCAAATAAACATTTTATTTGGAATTTAATAATTACAGTGCTTTGGATCACTTTGGATTTGCCAGAATTGGATAAAGATGGATACACAAAGAAAATTGTAAATAAAGGCAAAGAGCTTTTTTGCGATATTGCTTTTTGCCTGTTTTGTTTTATAAATATTGTTCAATAGCAAATATAAAAAAGAATTGTAACATTACAATTTTAAAAACTACTTGAGGGAATAATATCCCTATAAATACATTTAAATAAATAAATTAAACTTATAAATATAACGTTTACTGTACAGGAAAATAAAAGGTGTGCAGGAAAAATACAAAACATTTTCTCGCGAGAGAAAAAGAGTCCATATTGAGCTATCCTTGCTGTTTAAAGGTTTCAGTTCCACTTGAAACGTTTTCTTTTCACACAGTCACGAAGCAGAGCAGAGTCTAAACATCATCCCTCCTTCTTGTTTTCTTCCTGCCGATCCCATCTTCAGTCCGTCTTCTAAGCCGTTCCGTATTTCCCTTCCCGGAAGATGCCCCCCTACTCTAGTGGACGCCTGTGGGGTGACCGATCCGGTCGCCCACAGCTGGCCAGATGTCGAACATCCATCTGAGCGCTCTCCGCTCCCATCAGCGCATACGTTCATGTTTCCTCCTGGACCTCCCGTTGCAGTACGCTTCTGTTTTTCCAGTTTGAGGTAGAATTTCTGCATTTATGCCTGATATGACAAAAACAATAAATAAATATAAAAGGTCAATCTAATGAAGGTACAAAGAAGCATCTAGGTAATGTCTGGGACAATAGGTCAGTTATGAACTGCTCACCTCTGTTTGTGGTTTCAGTTGTTGGACGCCAGCCCCAACTTCACCTTCTCCTCGCTCTCTACGTCATACGCTCCACGCTTGTGAAACCTGAAAATATATATTTAACGGTGGATTAGTCAGATTATTTCACTCTTTTTTTATTGTCCTCTATGGCATCTAATGTGTGTTTTGCTCACCTCAGCATCAACAAGAGGCCGATGATGGTGAGGCAGACGGATGAAAGCACCACAGCTATCACTGCCAAAGCCGTGGTCCTGCTGTAGCCCTCCGAGGTATAGACAGGCAGCGTGAACAACTGGCACCTTTCGCCAGAGTAATTTGCATCGCAGCTGCAAGCGTAGCAGGTACTCAATTAGTTAATTTTGCTGATCGTCAGTTCCCCAGGTGATATCCAAGTGCTTGCAGAGCTTTGGTACTTACATACAAGTCGGCCCACGGATTTCCCTCCGGTACTGGCAGGTGCCATGAATGCACAAGTCCTTGTACTTTTTCAGACATGGATTCCTCTTCTTTCCCTTTCCTTTCCCTTTCTTTATTCCCTTTCCCCTTCTACGGGTTTCTTCTGTGTTTTGGGGCTCCGGGAGGGATGATGGGTCTTTGGGTTTGCTTGACATGGCGACTAAATCAATAAAGATGGGAAAAAAAAGAGTGAATTTCAGTTCTCCAAAGGCTGACATGTTGCTTCTAGAGTGGGATTCGAGTTGTTTTATACTTTTCCACTGTCAAACAATCTAACTCCGGCTAATGAAAGGACTTTCAGTGTTACTGTAAAAGTGACTTCACCAACAATGCAAAAATAAAAACCCTATCGCATAAGTGCAGTCTTTACATTAGAACTAAAGACTCCAGCTTTTTGTTCAGTTATTAATGATAAAGGTTGGTTCAAAATAAGAAAAGTGCCTGTACTTTGCTCAACATGGCAACTGAATCAATAGAGCCAAAAAGAACAAAAAAATAATTTAAAAAAATCAAACATTGAGCTAAGTTTGGACTCAACAGTGCTGTCATGTCTGTTGATGTCTATTGCACCTTTATTCCAACACAGCTGGTTGTAACTAAGTAATGGCACAGTGATCTAGTCAGACACTACATGAGGAATACCTTTCTGAAGACACTTGTTTTTAGAAGTGAAGAGTAAAACACTGACTCCACAGTCTTTTCAGTCACTTTCATTCAAAAAGCTACTCAGAGTTTAAGTTGGATCATTAAATGGCATGCAGACCCCCCAATAAAACATACTGAAGGATTTTAGAAAGTTAACTCAAGATCCCGCCTTACCTCGTGGCGTTTCCATGTCGTAGTCTCCAGACATTTCGTAGTCAGACTCATCATCGTAGTAGTATCCATCATCCTCCTCCTCTTCCTCCTCCTCTTCCTTGCCTTCGGGGCCACGCTGCACTGTTGTGGCCCCTGTGCGCTCCTCGGACCTCCGGTCCCTGGTTGTGTCTAAGAGGTTGAAGACAGACGTGTGCCGCTGCCTGTCGCCCTCATGCCGGTCGACCGCAGCCCCACTGGCCAGTCTGGACACAACTGGAGGGAAGAGGGACAAAAAAAAAAGAGAGAGAGAATTTGAGTTTCAGAAGCCACCACTCCAGAGTGAATTCCACCTGGGCAGCCATTGCTGGGGCAAGTCGAGACATGTTGCACGACATGCAAGCTGCAGGTGGGCTTGGGAGGGGATTGTAGTTTACACTACTAATTCGTGTTTGGTCACGAGTGAGTAGCTTATTTGGGCTTTGCTCCAAAGCGCCACAGCAACCCAAAAAAAAAAAAAGAAAAAAAAGAATCAATGTTAAGTACTTGTGTGGTTTGGGAACAAAAATGTAGCCAAAGGCAAGACCCAAAACGCGCACACACCCCCAAATTCCATGGACAGACTCTTAGCTAATGTCATGGCAAGAATATGAGTTAAAAATAAACGGATCCAGTTACATAAAGCTTCATCTGAAATAGACAGATGGCCCCATTAACTCCAGAACAGCATGGCATGACAGAGACCAACGATTTAAGATTATATATATATATATATATATATAATATATATATATATATATATATATATATATATATATATATATATATATATATATATGATAATTAGATTTAAAAAAAAGAGTCAACCAAACTTAGGGGGATACACACAGACAAACTTGTTTGAACACTTACCCAAACTGTGAACAAGCAGGAGCACAAAGGGGAAAATCCTCATGGTGTCAAAATATTCCAACAAAATGAAAATTAGATTTGTTGTATTCCAGTAAATATCCTTTGCTCTCCAACTTTTTCCCCCTGGATGTCTCTTTTATTTTTTTAATTTTTTTGCTTTCTTTATTTCTTTTCTTTCTGTTTTTTTTTTTTTTTTTTAGTCTTTCGAGGTTAATTCCGCCTGTTCGGGAGCTCTAGATGTGCTTTGGAGGTCGGAGCGGCTCTGCTGTGCAGGGCAGGACTGAGGCACGGTGGTAAATAAGGGCTGCCGAACGCAACTCCTCCTCTTCATCTGCCAGGGCGTGGGCGTGGGTGTCCCGGACGTTAGTAACCTTTGCCATATATGATAGATATTTAAATATAAAAAAAAATGTTTAGCAATAGGGGTGGGGTGTTGGGTTTGGGGGTAATGTTTGTAAAACTAGCCCATCCTTCGTAACTTAATGTTTTTATTATACAAGCATCTTGTAAAAAAAAAAAAAAAAACCTTCACGTAAAGAAACAGGAGGGCAAAAGAAACAGCTCGGTGGCGCCGCCTTTTGGTAAATCTTTTTAACTGCACCAAACTCAGAGGCGCCACTGAGTTGCCTCTGTTTCCTCTATGAACTGGTTCAGATTCAAATGGCCGAACACAAGTCATCAAATCCTGGATCGCCTTTATGGATGGCCGACATATTTTTGCCCACGTAGAAGATATACAGCGTATACCAATACGTGTGTTATGGCACTCCAAAGACAACATGTCTCAGGTCGACCAAGGAACCCCGCCCAGGTCGTTGTCAGTTCATTCATTCATTCATTCATGAACCGTTTCCTTTTGCAACAGTGATGGGTAGTGTTTCTATGGTTGTCATATTATTAAACTGTTTTTTAACATCTTTTTATGCGGGTTTGCAACTTTAAAATACAGTTGGATAGAAAAAAAAATGACCTGTCCGTATAAATTGGGGGATTTTCTTTGTCTAGCAAGTGGCGGTAGTGGGTCACAAAGAATTATTCGTTCATCACCCATGAAGAAATAGAAGAAGAAGAGTTCATTTCTTACAGCGCGCGTGATCGAGCTGAACTGGTCACGTGAGTTCACGTGGGGAAAGGAGGAGGAGGGGGGGGGAAACAAACATGGCCGACCAAACATTGGAGGTAAACACAGCTGCTGAGGGTCGCGTAGAAAATTCAGAACCAGGTGAACAGGAAGTATCGGGCCCGGCGACCGACGATGAACCCGCCGGGAGTCAGTGTCGGGACCCAGCCGAGAACACTCAGCCGGCCGCGGCAGAGAGCAGCTGGTCGGCTCCGATCCTCTCTCTGGCTCGGAAGGCCACGGAGACGATCAGCAGCGGGATGAGCTACGCGGCCGCCCCGAGAAAAGCCTCCCAGGATTCCGCTGTGGCTTCTGCAAGCGAGAAGGAGGCCGAGAATGACCTGAACGGCACCTCAGAAAAGCTTCCCGGTGAGCTGCAGCTATTTCAAACTTTATTCAATCGAACTAGGGGTTGCTTTCCTCCAAGTTGCAAACACTAAAAAGACTGATACTTCCTCTTCAGTTTCTGTCAGTATGTATCAGCTGTCACAACACATGACTCTGTGGGTATGAAATGGAGCTTGAGATTTGATGATGTGCACTTCTGTCAAGGAGTTTGTGTTTGTTATGGTGACGTCACGCCTGTCTTACTGATGCAAAGTTTTTTTGTTGTTGTTTTTTTTAACTGTATTTTACAGTTGCACCCACTAAAGACCCGATGGCCATAGAGAGATCCAACCTCCTCAGCATGATGAAGTTGAGCATCAAGGTTCTGATCCAGTCCTCTTTGAGCCTGGGCAGGACTCTGGACTCCGAGTACCCTCCTCTTCAGCAGTTTTTCCTGGTCCTTGAACACTGCCTCAAGCACGGCCTTAAAGGTGAGCTGTCTGGGTTATTTTCTGTGAGGACAGAGTTAAGGTTAGCCTAAGTGACTTTACTTTATACGTGTTTCTTTCAGCCAAGAAGTCCTTTATTGGTCAGAACAAGTCTATATGGGGGCCACTGGAGCTTGTTGAGAAGTTGTGTCCAGAGTCTGCCAACATCGCCACAAGTGCCAGAGACCTGCCTGGCATTAGGTATATTGTGCAGAGTTCCTGCTCTCTTCACAGCCTGGAAAAGTATGGGATATCCTGGAGAATGATGGAAAAGGAACATGAATGCCAAACTGTGTATAATCTGTTTTGTCTTTGTAACCATCTATCTGTTCTACTATTGGTCCATCTATCCATCTGTCTTTCTGTTTTTCTTTCCATCAAACCAGCTGTCTCTCTCCTTTCCTCTACTCATTCATCCATTAATCACTGTTGTAAATTGATTAATCTGGAATCTGACTCTGGAGCAGCTGTGAATTTTGACATAAACACATGTAGAAACTATAGTTTTTTTTTACTTCCGATATCGATACGGATATCCGAGGCTTTGCAACGACTGACTCCGATGTAGAAGAACGTCACTAAATTTAATTAAAGCATTCCTTTTTTCAACACAGATATAAATGTACTGAATTACAGCACACTTAAGTACACAAATAGCTCACAAGCTAGGTGAAACTTCTAAAAAAAAAAAAAAAAAAATCACAACTTAAACTTTTTCAGTTAGTGCAATGAGGAGAATAGCAGCCAATGTAAAATAAATGATAAAGATACGGGAACTGACGAAAACAAAAGTTTGACTATTTTGTCGAACATGAACAAATAAAATGCAACAAGTGGTTCAGAAAGCTCAATTCTGAACATAATGTGAAACAAACAATAGAGCTTGATGTTGCTCAGAGCACAAAGCGTAGAGCAAGTATAACTAGATCTGACCCTTATGGATCAACCATGTCACCATTACCAGATCTAGAATTGCTTTCCAACATCGGGATCGGTACAGATATTAATATCATGTTGGTTTAGCTCTAGTCGAAACACTGGTAGTTACAACAAAATCTAGAACCCATTTCACCTGTATAATTGTGTTCATGTTCTGCTGCTCTTCCCCAGGACGGGTTTGGGGCGGGCCCGGGCCTGGCTGCATTTGGCGCTCATGCAGAAGAAAGTAGCCGACTACTTGAAGACCCTGTTGGACCGCAAGGACCTCCTGAGGTTTGTAAAGTCAAGAAGGACGAATTTATGCTGCTGGATGAAAAGCGGGGACAAAAGTGTTGCTTTGTGTAAATTTTAATCCCCTAGTGAGTTTTACGACGCCGGCGCTTTAATGCTGGAGGAGGAAGGCGCCGTGATGGGAGGGCTGCTCGTTGGCCTGAACGTCATTGACGCTAATCTGTGCATTAAAGGGGAGGACCTCGACTCTCAGGTCAGTACCCAGTAAAAAGCTGTTCAGACTCTGGTTTGTATCTAAATAAATTGATGTCATCTTTCCTTCGCTTTAAGGTGGCGGTCATTGACTTCTCCCTCTACCTGAAAGATGCGACCAGCAGCGAGGCAACAAAGGAGTGAGTGGATTTTACTTGGTCAAAGCGGCGAAAGCTAAGAAAAGTTGGCTCCTTTCCAATGTTTTCTTTTTCACTCAGTGATGGAAAGATGACAGCCATTCTAGACCAGAAGCACTACATCGAAGAGCTGAATCGGCACTTGAGCGGCACCGTCACCGACCTGCAGGCCAAGATGGACTCTCTGGAAAAGACCAACAGCAAGCTCCTGGAGGAGGTTACTGGCATTTTAACGTCACCGTAAGATCTCTGTGTATTTATTCGACTGACTGTAAGTGCAATAAATACTTTTGCTCTTCTTAGCTGACAGCAGCAACAGACAGAATCAACTCTCTGCAGGGGGAACAGGAACAGCTCAGGCAGGAGAATGATTCCATCCTGCTGACGAGCCAGAAGAAGGAAGAGGTTTGAAACTGCTTTGCAGGAAGAGACTGAAAGCTTCTTAAAAATCAAACAAGGCTGCAGAATGTAACCCCGTTTTTTTTGTTGTTGTTGTTCTCAGGCAGCACTTCAGGACAGTCAGGTGGAGCTGGAGACATACAAACAGACTCGACAAGGTTTGGATGAGATGTACAATGTGGTGTGGAAGCAATACAAAGAAGAAAAGCGAATTCGCCAGGTTTGTTTCTGCATTATTGCAACGAATGACTGAGCCATTCGAACACATGGCTATGCGTTGATAGCCATTCCTTTGCAACTGTGACTGTAATCTGGACTTAAATTGTTTTTTTTCCCCACTATTGTCCTTCCTCAAACATGCATCCCTTATCAGAGTGACATGCAGTTTTCTGCCACTCATAGAAATAAAGGAACATTTCAGATTTCATCTTATTTGAACAGGACACTTTCTTCCACATGTTTGAGTCCGCTATGTGGATCTTGGCAAACAAAAAGGCCAGATTGGGCGAATGCACGACTAATATTTATCTCGTCTGCCTGGTTCCCTGCGGAGTTATAATAGGTCTTTTTGCGACATACATTCATTCTTAATATTTTTAGTCTTAAACTGTATTTGACTCCTGCCGTCTCGCGTTTAAATACGCGAATGCCAGGAGCTGGAGCGTGAGCTGGAGCTCCAGGTGGGCCTAAAGAAGGAGATGGAGGTGGCCATGAAGCTACTGGAGAAGGACATCCACGAGAAGCAGGACACTCTGGCAGCCTTACGGCTCCAGCTCGACCAGGTCAAGACTCTTAACCTGCAGATGTTCCACAAAGCAGAGGTGGGAATGGTCGTGTGTGCTGCGTTTCACCCCACCCACCACACAGTGCACGCATTTGAACAAGCTGGTTGGTCTTGTAGGACTCAGGGCGACAAGCAGAGAAAAAGCAGGCCGAGGCGGTGCAGTTGGAGCAGAGGATAAACGAAATGGAGAAGGCTATGGTCGAACTAGAAGAGCGGTATGTGGGTTTTGCTTGTGTTGCTTGCTAAAATGCTCTGGGTCGGTTAATTTGCCTGCTTGACATTTCAGACTGCAGAAATCTGAGCAGCAGAGTCGACAAACCGACCAGTCAGACAAAGACATGAGGGTGGAGCTGGAAGCAAAAGTTGATGCTTTCCAGAAACAGCTAACAGACCTGGACACATTAAGGTTAGCACACACGCAGAGGGCATAACATGCAGAGCCATAAAAAAATTAAAAAAACTGCCACGAATGTTAAGGTTTTGCAGGCTGAAACCTTTTAGGAGGTAAATGGAATTAATTTAAATGCTGATTTGAAGTACATGATTAATGTGCGACTCCTTTCTTGCACAGAACGGGATTAGAGAATGAGCTGCGTGCAGA